CTAAAGAAAAGAAAAAATTAAACCTTTAGAATTGGGGAAGGGGGGGGGGGGGACTGGGCAGAAAGGGGTTTTTGCCACAAAACATCATCTTCACCTTCTTCTGAGGTTTTTCATGATGCTTTTTAAAAAAAAAAGAAATAAACAAAAAAAATCATAAGAGGTGTTTACAGCCTTCAAGAAGAGAAGATTATTTTCAGAGGTACTGTGCCATATAACCCTTTACAAATGTGCCAATTATCTTCAGAACTTAACAAAAATAAAGCTGTATAAAAATGTTTTTACAAATGATTTAGTTTTTGGGCAAGGAGCACGGAGACCTTTCAGATTTTGAACTATCTGCCACAGGAATATTTGGGCCAGTTATTTTCTCTGGATTTCTATACAAAGTGTAAGGTGTGTGGAATCATGAAAATGATATGAACATTTTCCGTTTTGTTTCTTTTTTTTTTCTCCTGGGTGTTTTTTTTTAACATAATGATTGGGAGGGAAATGTATTCTTGTTACATGAAGGAAAGAGTAAACTGCTCGTGGCTCTTTATTGAGACAGAAAGTACCAAGTCGGTGATAATGCCAAGAGTCTGCAACACAAGAATAATAAAAATATTGAAAAGATGAATTGCTTCTTGAATGAGCTAAATTTCTACATCTGTGAGCTAAATCTACAATGTTCATCATCTGCCAGCACACTACTTCCAGTAATAAACAGGAGAAGAACAAATCTTGTACTTCTCTACTGGCAAGTCATAAGTCATCCAGTTTATGATGGGAAGAAATTCCCTCCATGAACTATCATAAGGGTATTTATTACTTTCTATATATGTCATTTTATTGTGACTCAAACACACATCTAGAACGTTCTCCAGATGGAAATATGATAGGGGACAGTGAGTTATTCCAAATGTTACATTTTTGTTAACCAATTTCATTTTTGAGTTGGTGTTGCATATTGTGATATGTTTAAGGCTAACTGGTTAAGCCTGTATTTGTGGAAGGAGTCTGCGCCTCCCCAGCCCTCATAAGCCGCCCGCTCAGGCTTCCGGGTACGCAAGGGATCTCGCAGCGCGACCCTCCCTCCCATCCCATGATTTTCACACCTCATACTCGGAGTACGCCCCCTTATTGGCGTACTGTCCATCTGGACCATGGCACACCTCAGGTCTGTATGTTGGCATATTTGTCTATTTTGTTTCAGTACATAGGAAGGAAGCATATGGTAGGCGTCAGGTTTTCCGGTTGTCAGAAGGTCCTTACCAAGCATGCGTTTCCCGAGTCAGGTAAGCAGACTCTGACTACAAGTGATATTTTGTAAGATGACAATTGTGTGTTTCCCTTTGGAGCAGCATTGTCACTCAGCATCTGCATATGTGAATGGGCTGCATTATCAGAAGCTCGTGGTCATAGAGGGCAAAGCATTGGTTAAAATAATAAGCAGCACCAAAAATTGGAAAGAAGCCATCTGAGAAAAAATAGGAAAAAAGAAAGAGTCAGCACAAGGACAGCAGACATAGGGGCCAGCCAGTGCCTCACAACAGTGGTGTACCTAACATATCTGGCACCCAGGGCTAATCATTTTATAAAACCCCATTCATACTAAAACATCTTTCTGTAGTAAAGTGGCATGTGCAGCACATGCTAGCTTCGGCCAAATGGTGTTAACAGCATAAGGTGCTTAAAGGGGGGGCATGGTTAAATCAAACCTGAGCCTACTCACTGTATGCACAGCACACATATGTCTCATTTCTTGTACCCAAACAATATGCTTTCATTACTGTGTCCCAAATAAGAGTCTAATAGACAAGTACAAACCTCAGCACAATCATTTCTGAAAAATGAAACTCTTCCTTTGCGTATGCTTTTCTACACAAACCAAACTTAACGGAGTATGCTTTGTGAACTTCAGGAGTTTTCAATGTAGTCAGGAGTATGAAACATACAACATGTGCTAATGTACAACTTGTCCTTAGCACAGGGCTCAGTAGTGCACAATCCAGAGAGTGCAGGGGTCAGGGGTCAGGGGCCAGGGGTGCAGGGGCCAGGAGTAGTTAATGCAGAGGCTAGTGTACAGATTACAAACAATAATCACCCCCTTCTGCCACTACAAATCACCACCGCCTAGCTTATATCCCCCACAGCACAGATCTTCTCCAACAGCCCCAATCCCACCTCTAGTATAGCATCACCCCCTCTTTGCCACCCTAAATCCAGACTCCCTATTAACCTCCTTAGTA